AAAAACGAAAAACGTCAAATAAATTAGCCATGAATGTTGATTAGATATAAAGATATATCGCTGAAACTGTATTGCAAATAATTAGAAAAGCATTTTGGCTGAGCGGAAGCGCGGCTAACGGGGCGCATGAGTAATGCCGAAAGTTACGCAAATAGCAGAGCCGCCTCACCTTGCCTCACCTCACCTCGTCGCGTCTGCTTATCAAATATTTGAACTAAAATGTGTAGCTAAATTAAAACAAACAACGCGAGTTCTAAGACATCAGACAGTAGCCAAAAAAAAAGAAAAAACAAATAACGAAGCGATGCTCCAATTTGATAAGCGCTGGGCGCATTGGCAATTAGCGAATTAAATGCTGACCAAGAGGTGTGTGTGTGAGAGAGAGGGGAGACTGTTGCTTGTTCTATAAATGTTTCCATGGGCCCACATCCCGCTTTAATGAAAAGGCAAACAATTAAATTAGCCAAGACGAAATGCGAATCAACCAAGAATCAACAAGAATTCGCATCGACAGCGAGAAACTAGAACGCGCCGCATTTGTGAAATGCCAATCGTTCGAGAGTATGACCGAGACGAGACGATATACACATACATATATGCACACATAAATAGACATAGGTATATGTATGTATGCGAGATCAATGCTCGCTGGCAGCTGCTGTCGATCCATGTTGCGATTGGATCGCTGTTAGGGTGCGTTCGGGCTGTGATTGATTGAATTAATAATACAAATTAGCAGCGCCAAGTAGGTAAGATCAATGATCTCGCCGAGGCAGTAGCTGCCCGATCGCTTGCCGGGGCGTGGGTGTAGCTCGCTGACTGCACAGATCACAACAAGAGGAAAAGACGAGTAGCTCCTATGATCGATCAGCGATCTAGCGCAGTTTTTACTGCAGATTCACGAGAACCGTTTACGATCAGCTGTGATTGCTGTGCCCCAAGATTAAATGGCTGAGATCAGTCCAGTTTATCTCAGTAGCGATCAGTCATTAGGCGGAGCATGGCAAGACCAACACGAGTAGCATTCGCAACTGATCATTTAACGGCGATCAAGCGCAGTTTTTATTACAAATGCACGCAAGCGTTTTATGATTCGTTGAGTTTTGGGATCAGTATAGCTATCCCAGTACTGGCTAAGAATAGTTAACAGAGCAGACTAGTTAGCGCATACCTCTGGCTTTTTATAGCTTGAGCTGTCTTCTTCTTTAGTTTTCAGATCATCAAACTAATTTGTCGAATATCATGAAATGCCCAAGGCAAGAGCTTAGCCTAGATCGTTGAATAAGAAGCTGAGTTCATTATAGAAAGTTAATATTAATGATTGTCTCTGTAACTCCCCTGATCTGTCATTCCTAATCATTGTGTCACCATAAAATGATCACTAAATTGTCTGAGTAATACATCAAATTCTGATTAATGCCTTCGGCTAAGTTAATATTTATGAACCAGCAGCGCAAGCAGCTAGAGATCTTTATGATTTATGATTGCGTATGCTTCTCTCCCTTTCTCTCTATCTCTCTCTCATTCTATTTACTTCTCTGTCTGTCACCATAATAAGATCACAACATGATCAGGTCGTGTAGTTAATGGAAGAGTCAACGAGAGTCGTTGGCTTCATTATGAGCACGCACGATCAATGACCGACAATGGAAGAATTGCAGCAGCAAACAGCAGCAGCAGCAGCAGCAGCAGCGGCGGCAACTGAGTGATTTCTTCCTCTGCAAGGAGACCCCCAAAGACAAGCGCAGCGCCTCTGGGGCACTGGCCAATGGCTAACGATGCCAGCAGGGAGCACGCCCAGACGGAGCGTTGAACTATAAACGTCGTCGTTGATCGTCG